CAGAAGAGGGCACCAGATCTCATTACAGATGGTTGCGAGCCACCATGTGGTTGCTGGGAATTGAACTCAGGAACTCTAGAAGAGCAGCCAGTACTCTGAACCTCAGAGCCATCTCTCAAGCCCTATTTTATTTTTTTTGTATAGTGAATAAATCAATTTAATAATTCTTACCAGGTCAGCATCAGAGAGACCATGTATGTTGCCCTAGAACACAGCTTTGCACCATGAATCACTAATGGTAATAGTGGACTAGAGAGATGGATCAGTGGTTGAGAGCACTTGTTCTTCCAGAGGACCTGGCTTCCATTCCCAGTAGCCAGATGGCGGCTCACAGCTGTCTCTAACTGCAGTTCTAAGGGATGTGACACTCTCTCCTTGCCTCTGCAGGCACCAGGCATGCACAGGGCACACAGATATACAAGCAGACAAGACATCCATACACATAAATATAATTGTTTAAAAAAGTGGGCAGCAAGCGCGAGTCACATTGTGGTTGGTTTCATTTCCTTCTTTCTAAGCACAGGAAGTTCTTCTCCCAGGGTCCAGTGGCCAGTGAACATGGCCTAGCTTCCAAGCTGGACTCCATGGAGCACAGTGACATGCTCACAGGCAGCTTCTCCAGAGTCCCTCTCCATTCAAGAGGCAGCAGCAAGCTGTCCCATGTACAGGGAAGGAGATGGCTCAGTGCAGACCTCAGCAGCAGTTGTTTGGCTGCAGTACTTTCCTGATACCAGCAGCCAGGGCTTGTGGGGTGGGGCTCTCTGCTGTGCAGCTCACAGGCAGGCCCTTGGCAGCCATAGCACGAGTTGTACTGGGGCCAATGGCTACAAGCTGCAAGTGAGAGACACAAGAGACAGCCTGAGCACTACAGCAACGGCGTCATCTGTGTACAGGCGTCATCTGGACACCAGACATCATTCCTTCATGATGTTTAACATAAATAACAGTGCCACCTGATATGAAGACTTCAGAGTCTGCACAGAGCCCTCAGTCAGGATCTCACTATCATCTCATGTCACAAACACAGGTCAGAAGGTACCCCTTAACCTTCTGTGACCCCCTGCATTTTAAATAGTTCTGTAATAATGTCAAGTCTCACAAAGGCGCCTACAGAGGGCAGAAGGCCACTGTCCAATCTGGCACAGAGCTGGAACAAGAATGCCAAGCCACCCAATGCATGGGTCCCAGGACTCTGTCCTCTGTCAGCATCAAAATTACCCATGTGGGCTGGCACTAAGTCCCAGTGATGAAGAATGACTCCTATTAATTTGTATTGGCTTTCTAGCTCTGGAATAACCCAGTTCCTGTGACAATGTTGGCCCTGAAACTTTCTTTCCTGGCAGCTGTGGGGCCCAAAGGCCCCGGTGACATCTTTAACTACTGGTGCATGGTGCACTCAGCAATGGCAGTAGGATGAAGGGGATGCCAAGAACCCATGGGTTACAGAAATGAATGGTACAGATTTAAGATGGGCACCTTCATTATGCCCCAGCTGCTGCATAAGTCTAGACAGAAGAAGAATCCTGAGTTGAAATTCCCAATGTCCATTTTGCTCTGACTTGGGTTATCTTGGGATGAGGACAGAGTAAGGTTAGAGCAGTATGAGTTCTTATTAAGGCAGACCAGCATGGTCAGCCCAGGTGAGTTCTCAGGCGTGTTTCCATCTGCAAGCTGTCCTGGCACTTCATCCGCGAGGTCCACAAACAGACACACGAGCAGCATTGGCACTGCTGCTAAACTTCGCCTGTGCCTAAGTGCTCACTTGATCAGTGGCCATGCTGAGCATCTCTTCAACACTGACTGCAGGACTCAGGTGCCACTTCCCTCTCCCAGTAACCCTCATAAAGCTGTCCTTCCAGTAATGCACTATCTGATGCTGGCAAGGTATGGAACCTCTCTGTGCTCAGTTTCCTCCCTATAAGGAAGACGATCACCCCCTTCCTGCTGGCTGCTGGATCCCCACAACCAGATAGCATAAGCTATGACTGCAAGAACTTTGACCACTGTCTGGCAACTGATAGGACCATGGCTATGTATCACCATGGCCCACACCCTGGCATTCACTTTTCTGAGTTCCAACCCTGATTGGACCTTCCTTTTCAGCTGCTCTACACCTAACATGCCACCTTGAAATTGGAAAAACAGTCTGGATGTCCAGGTAGGACATGCAGACTGTGATAGGCCAAAGTATGGGAGTCACTTGACTGTAGTGAGCTCTCGGGAGTGGAGATAGAACCTACTGTCCCAGGGTTCCACGCCAAACTTTGTACCTTCTCTTCAGTTCTAGTGGAGTCTGGTCAAGGGCACTTACTTCTGTTGCAGGTACCACAAGTACCACAAGGGTTGTGTACTTTGAAGACTCCTAATAAATTCAGTCCCTGAAAGTATGGGTGCAAACCCTTTAAGTAAAAACAAAGGGACAGACATGTGTAGACTAGAGAGCCATTTCAACAAGTTCAACAGGGAGCAAAGGAGGGGAAGGCACCAATACCTATACCAAACCCTGCCAGAAGGGCCTCACCTGAGTCGTCATCCAACCAAGGACAATGCCAAGCAGGGAAGGCTAGATAGTTGGCTATAAAGACAAAAAACTTGGGGATGATCCCCAAGTTAGGATGAGAGCAGCCCAGAAATCGGCAACATATGCAGAGCACCAGCAAAGCAGCAGTACCCCCCTCCACACCCCAACTCTACAGGCATCTAGCTCAATATGCAAATTCCAAGATATAGTAAGGACTAAAAGGCCAAAGTCCACAGAATAACATACCTTAATCTGATCAAAGCTGCCACCAGATAATGCCTGGATATAGTCGAGGCTGTATTTAAGGCCAGAGGGACTGAAAAAAGTGATGCTGGCTGGGATACCCTATGGGGAAGGAAAAGATGAGATCTAGCCTTTGCCCCCAGACAGCATTCCTTGGTTCATCAACATCAACCCTTCCAACCCCAGAAACCCCAGGCTGGCTACATGCCATTTTCAGCCCACCAAGGCACAGTCTGAAGGAATCGTTTATAAAGCAGGCTGAGACTGGAGAGGCTGCCAGTTCCCACTGGTTGCTCTGCCAGCCCTCGTCTGTTGGGCCAGAAGTCACAGACTTCCTGGAGCCCAATCTCAGCAGCAGAGAAACCCCCAGCTCCTAAAATTAAACAGCCGTGATGTAATCAACAGTCGTCTTGTTGGTTCTGTCAACTTCTACCTGCTAGGGGCAAAGCAGACAACAACCAGCCAGTCTGCAGGGTTTCTCTGCACTTGGATTGTCCCAATAGAACCCCCCAGAACAGAAGTGGTATGTAGAAGCTGTTCTGGGAGGGATGTGACTTCTGAATGGAAATGGAGGTAGCCATTAACTCAAGAAGTGCTCTCCACTCCCCTGCCTCAGGTCTCCGAATCCCATTCAGTCTCCACAATGGGCTCAGCCTCACAGTGGAGAACAAAGGCATAACAAAAGGCCACTGTGTATCTCAGGCCTCTGCATGTAGATGTTACACAAACAGCTTTGTATGAATTATCTCCTTTAATCCTTATGCAACTTTCACTGGATGGGTCTATTCCCACATCACAGATACACAAATGGAGCTGCAGAAAAGCCATCTGCTCAGTCACATGCCTGGGAATGACAGAACCCCAAGGAGAATCTCAGTACCTGCAATCTCATGCCCCCAACTCATGCTCCTCCCCTGGGGCCTGCCCTGCTAGGACTTGCTCTTCCTGGAAACCCGACATACCTGATTTTCGTAGTAGCTTTCCAAGTTCCCTTGGATTCCAGGGTGTGGAATTGTCTGATAGACATGCATGCTTTCCATAGGGATCCCTGGGCACAATCAAAACCAGAAGTTGGGCTTCACTTTACTGGGAACAGGATGGGGCCTCTGCACCCCCTGCAATATGTAGCTGATGGGGATCTTCAACACACCTCTGAAAAACAGCTCCTCAAATAGAAAGCTCAACTAGAGGGCAAAAGACCCTGCCCAGCCCTGGGTGGCTTGAAGAGCACTGTGCAGTCAGGGAGGCTGAGTTAGCAAAGAAATGTCCAGAAACCACAGCCTTCATTGGTACTCACAGATGCCATTGGTTCTCATGTTTGTGTGGGTTTGTCCATACAGCTTTGACCCTGGCTGCACTATAAATCCCACAGTCATGCTGCCAGGTTCAGGGCAGCTCTCAAGAAAGGCTTAGCATCAAGAGACCCAACTGTATCCCAGCTCTGCCTATACACGATTATGTATGCTTCCTGCACCTCAGGACAGTCATCTCTGGGGATGTCATTAGCTCATTCTAGTCACCTTTGTCCTTGAGCATTTTGGGAAGAGTATCTCCTTTGATAGTTCCACAGGGAAAGAGAAGAGGCAGTGCTGAAGATGGCCCTGTGAACACACAACCAGACATTTTAAGAGCTTTGTAAATTCTCAAGAGAAGAGGTAGTGCTGAACATACCACCAACATTGTAAGGGCTTTGTAAAAGCTGAAAGGGTGACCCTGTGTATAGAGGCACAGGGAGGGCAGCTCCCAGGAGGGCGAAGCTGGGGCTCCAGGCTCAGCTTTGCTCTAAGAGCTCAGTTCCGGCACCTGTGACCAGGAAGAGCAACTGCTCCACTGTGCTGACCTTGAAGGGTTCCATGAACAACTAAAGAGGGAATATGAGGAAAGAACCTAGAAATCTACGCCACAGAAACAAGGCACCACTGTCCTATTTGCTGCTTGAAGTCTGCGGCTCCCTGGTTCACAGTCCCTATTTGAAATGCATACCTTAAATGAATAAGGACTCTGGCACTGGGCTGAGATTTCCTAGCTCTGGAGGAGGGCCTTCGTGAGCCAGGAACGTGCACGGGAGACAATAAGGAACTGGCACTTTGGAGTGGCTCTGTAGCCACCTCCAACAAAGACAAGCTCCCTGCCTACTATCTGCCCAGCCATGCCAGTAGCCCCTTGACCAAGTGCTCAAAAGTCACAAAAGACAGGATGCTGCTCCAATGGCCCTGAATCTCACTGTACCCACTACCCACCTCCATATGTGGAGACCTGAGGCCAGGTTCAGGCCTGAGCACTTTGCAACTAACAGAACAACATGTTGCAACAAAGCCTTCCAACCAAACTGAGGGGCTGTCAGATGCAAAAACCTTCCTCAACTGAACACAAAGCATTTTACAAAACCAACCATTTCTTCCATATCATATCAAGAAATGTAATGGGCATTGGTTGTACACAAATGTCACATATTTCCTGAACCAAGATGATCCCTCTGAACACACCCCTGGCAACTGAGATCAGAGGAAGAATGAAAGAAACTGTCCCCAGCTAGCACCGACTCTGGGAAGCAGTAGCTAAGTGACAGCAATAGCTGCAGGCTATCCGTGTTTGAAGTATGAGCAGCAGTGACATGCTGGCGGATGTTTTATTAAACTGCTCTGTGAATATTGGTACCAACACAGAAGAGCACAACTGATTGGGACATGATTAACTACAGATCACAGGTACCTGCTGAGTTCTCTTCCCAGTGAAGTGCTGTAGGTACCACTCCTAGGCACACATTTTAAAAGACACATGCAGGTGCTATGCTCTCAACTCTAGCCTAGGAGGCTCCCCTATGCCTTTCTCATTGAGAGCTGTGGGCTGAAGGTGCTGGAAGTTAGGGGCTAAAGCTTCTCTTAAGGCTCCTATGGGAAGTGAAAGAGCTCAACTTTCCAGCACTCCTCCCCGCAAAAGCACATAAAAAGCTTCTGGATGGCTCAAGAGTCTCCCCTTCATCTCTTTATACTGCAATTCCTAGATGGGTAGGAAGTGTAGGACCCAAGTCCATCACTTATCCCTAAGGCTGGGCTACAACAGTACAGGGCTTCCTTAGGACAGAGGCGTGTCTGGCCAGCACCTGCCGGGTAGGCAATGTGGGGTTCACACGTGTGGTCAGACAACTCAGCTGCCTTCCCAGGAAGAGAATACCCTATGGGCACGAAAGACAAACTGTTTTGTATGTTCACATGGAACTCTGGTGTTAAGGGATCTAATGAACTGTGTTTCCTGAGAGCGCTCTACCCAGAGTAAAACAAAACAAACCCCCCCCCCAAACAAAGAAACAAACAAAACCCAGCTGGGTATGCCTATGATCCTGGCATGCAGGAGTCAGATGCAGGAGGATCACTACAAGTTTAAAACCAGATGACCTTGGGAGCAGTTCCAGATTTCCTCTGCTGACATAGAGCAAGAGGAGTCTACTTCAGTCTGTGTGGCTGCAAGTACTTGTGTTTACAGCTGGATCACATACAGGGAAGAGGACAGGAGACACAATGCAGGGGAGGGCACATGCTCAACCTTCTCAAGTCTGTGCTCTAAAAATCTCTCTGTATTTTCCAGAAGTCTAGGACCTTATAAGTAGCTTAAGGGAAACCACCATCTAAATCCAAACCCCTAGGGCTGGCCCATGTGCTGACCAAAGATAACCTTATGGGAGTTAGTTCTTTGCCGGGGAGCAGGTTTTGTAGGGGAGGGTGGACTTCATGTGGGGCGGTCTTCACTTACTTGAGCAAATATACTCAGCAAGTTTTTCTGCGTTTCCACTGTGTGCTCCTTCTGCATCCAGGCCAATTTTACTCACTGGAAAAGGCCAAAGAGGTGAATTCCTTTGACAGTTCCTGAAACCCTTTTGTTCCTGCATTATTTTTAAATGCAAATGTACAGAGAACATTTCCCACCCACGGAGAAGTATACTCTGGGAGCTGAGCTCACAGCTCTCCTTTCAGAGATGAGGGTGCCTGGCCACACCTCCCTAGACAGGGCTTTTTGTCTTAACTATCTTCTCTGAAGCCCACAAAACTTATCTACATGAGCCAAAAACAGCACACCTATAGAACTGTCTTGGGGCTCATGTGATAATGAGGCTAACTGTTGGCATTTGCTTATCAGACAGTTAGCATTTGGGAGCCACCAAGTTTTGCAAGCATTTCTTTAGAGAACCCTCATTTCATTAGGCAGATGTGATCAGCTTCCATCCAGAAAGGGGTAATGGGCTGATATGGCCAGACTGGAATGGAGGGGGCAGAGGAAAGGTCCCACAACAATCAACAAGGAACCATAGCATTATGGACACAGGTAGTTTAGGGAGGGTGCGGTCCCAGCCTTTTTCTCAGTGGGAGTACTGGAACTCTATATAGACTAGGCTGGCCCCCAACTTACAAAGCTCCTCCTGCCTCTGCCTCCCAAGGGCTGGCTGGGACTAAAGGTGTATGCTACCACGCCCTGCAAGCTCCTTTTCTTGAAGAGAACAAGAAGTAGACAGATGAACGCTCCTTGCCTTCTCTAGAAAGGGAAAATGTAGCTACCCTGCCGAGGATGTGAAGGAAGGCAGGGACCACTCAGCACTGCTACCTGCAGAGGAACATAAGGCTTCCAAAGGAAAGAGATATGTTGGCCATTCCATTTAGGAGCCAAACAACTGGCACCTATATTACCACCAATGACAGCTTCAGGGGGACACCAATAGCACTTTTTTTTCATGAATTATTAGAAATGTACCAAGCCTGAGGGAAATGTCTCATGCAAGTGTAAACTCTGCTCAGGACAAGGGAGTCGAGAAGCCTGGAGTCCCCAGGAACTGAGCTGATGCAGGACGACTTGCTGTAACGCTGGCCCTTAACACAGTAGGCATGTGTGGCTCCCTTATCCCCGTTTTGTAATATCACTTCCTTCCATTTCAGCTACTCTTAGTCAACTATGGCCTGAAAATACTAAATGGAAAATTCCAGAAATAAGCAGCTCATAGGTTTCTGATTGTTTATAGTCTAAGTATGAAACCTCATCCAGCCAGCCTAGGATTCAAACCTTCATCTTCCTGTGACTCCTTACCTAGAGAAGCGGTAGCACTTCCAACCACGTACACAGACTTGGCATTCCATCTGTCTTTCAGGGACTTTTCCCAGGCTGAAAAACATGAAATTACACATGAGCTATGCATACAAAGTAGCCACCTGGATGTCACTAAGGTGGCCCGCTTCTTCATTCTAAGGACCCAGCCTTCTCTTCGGCAAGAGATAGGGCACTCAGGCTCTAAAGCAAGCCAGCTACTTGGGTAAGGAGACAACATCAGTGACAGCATCACCACCCTCATCCCCTCACTGCCCACTCTGTCCCTTGCAACATTCTAGATACCCCTCCATGGGTCTCAGACTATGCAGTGTGCCAGTGTGCATCAGAGCACCTGGCACACAGTGGACATATGACATGTCTCAGCTAGTAAAGACAGTAACACCATGGTTTAGGTGCTGTGTTGCTTATTCTATGGCCAGGTCACCAAGGGAAGGAAGATCTAGGAGCCTGCAGCTCCAGGATGGCGACATGAATCCAGACCTTCAAGACTCCTAAGCCCCGGCATTAACCATCTCCCAATTGCTTCTCCACTGGAAGAACTCCCCAAGCCTGTTTTGACTGTACAGTGAGGTCACAGCACTGTGCACACCTCTGGAATGAGGTGTGCACAGCATTCATTCTGAAGTATAATGGGTCCTCCATTAATGTCAGCTAAGCAGCCAGTCAGTCTGGGTGTCAGAAAATGGGTAGAGTCACTACATACCGCTGTAATGGAGAGAAAGAAACAGCATGTTGCAAGGGCCAGGCAGGGCCATGAGCATCTCCCCACTGCTACACTTTCTTAGCATCCACTGAGTAAAGTGCCACCTACCCCACTTTCAGAGGAAGAAGTTGGCACAACACTCAAGTGAACATTTAAAAGACAATCGAGGGCTGGGGGGATGGTCAGCAAGTAAAGGTGCTTGCCACCAAGCCTGATAATCTGAGTTTGATGCCTGGGGCCCATGAGGTAGAAGGAGAGAACCAATTCCTATGGACTGTCCTCTGATCTCTACACACATATCATGGCATGCACCCAATAAGTAAGTAAGTAAATAATAATAAATGCGATAAAACAAAATAAATTAAATGGCAAGTAAGAAGATCCTCTCAGCCACATCTGTCACCTGTGAGCCAGCACTCCCAGGTACTTAGTTCTGTTGGGCATGTAGCTGCCTCTGGATAAGTGTCTCAGAAAAGAAATGAGAGTAAACAAGAGTCTGGTGGAATCCAGAACAGACCCACCCTCACCTTTAGGTTTTTTTGTTTTGTTCTGGTTGTGGTTTTTAGTTTTTCAAGACAAGGTTTCTCTGTGTAATAGAGCTCTGGCTGTCCTGGATTCACTTTGTAGACTAAGCTGGCCTCAAACTCACAGAGATCCACCTGCCTCTGCCTTCTGAGTGCTGGGATCAAAGGCGTGTGCCACCATGACCGGTTCTTACCTTCAGTTTTATTGTCCTTCTCCAAACACAGCTTCACTGCTTCCACTGCTCTGGGGCTGGTAAAAATGAGTCCTCCAAAGCCTTCTGGATGAGAGAGCTGCACCAAAACCAGCAGAGGTCAGCTTAGACCCAGCTTCTCCAAGGGCTACGATCCTGAGGTCCACATTTCTGCAAAGAAGTAGGCAACTACTTCTACCCCTCCAACTCTCCACCTACCCGACACTTGCTGAGTGCTGATTATGGGCCTGGAGACATTCGAGGGTTTGGGTAAGCCCCTTCATCGTCACAGCCCTTCCCTCAACAAGTTCCTTCTAGATCAGAGACAGACAGCCTCAGGAGAGGAGCTGAGCAGAGGGGTAACCTGACCCTTCATGGGACAGATCAGTAGAGTAAGGTGCAGGCAGGAAGGCACACTTGATGTGCATCCATAACACAACCAGACTATGAAGGAGGTAAAACCTAGCCGAAGCCTGGACTTCAAACACAATACTTTGCAGAACACTTCTGAGCCAGGCACTGAGCTGCAGTATACCTGACTTTACTGAAGGTGTCCATACGGAATCTGTTTTTTGCAGTACCAGGTACCAAATGTGCACTGTGCACACTCAACATACCTCAGGCCACCATCAGTCTGAAGTACTTGGAGGCTTCAGTAGGCCTGACTCTGCAGTATCTGTCAAACCTGCTGGGCAAAGCGAAGTGGTGGGCAGAAGCCCTGGGCTTGCATTCAACCCTGCCTCCTGCCTTCCTAGCTAGGTGTCTGGGCTGAGTCTATGCCAGAGCTCACTCTAAAATCAGAAGCACTTGCTGGTCTTCTGTGCACTAACCGGACCCTACCTCTGAGAGCCATGCTGGTGCCCTGCATGGCTTCCCGAGGAAGTAGACAGAGGCTTAGGATGAGAAGCCTGTAGGGAGTCTCCTGCAACCAAGGGAGCGTGTACTGCCCTCCTGTTCATGTCCAGTGGCAAAACAAGGCAAACATTCCCATGACTTGGGCTGTCAAGGATTCTACAGACAGCAAGCCCTAGCATGGTATTCTTACCTTTTCTGACAAACTGGGGAGAGACAAAAACTCAAATGACAGAACAGGAATCAGCGTAGCTTCCAATCCATACAATCCCAGCTCCTGTAAATGAAAGAATTTCATTCTTGGTTGGCCAGGGCTGTATTAAAAATAAGGAAAGGTCATGACATCACATTAACCATTGACTGTTACCTGAAAATGAGGGAGCCCAGCATCATGTCAACTATGTACCAAGTTCACTGAGTTTCAGCATCCCCACCCCAAACTCCATTAGCAAGGAAGTTCGGTTGAGGCCAAGGATTCTGGCTCAGCTACTCACCTGGATATATGGATCCTGGCCACTGTCATCGTCCTTGGCATCTTTCAGTAGGAGAACCTTCATTGTGCCTGGCAGCCCTTATAAAAGACACTGGGAGAGAGCAAGGAAACAGATCTTAATTAGATCTCAAAGACAGTTCCTCCGCAATGCTGGAAGAGGAGAGAGGAACAGAATGAGGGAATCAATCGCCTGTGACGGGCTAAATGGGCTTGGTCTTTCTCAAGACCCCTGTCACTGATAAGGCCAAAGGAGAGCATGTTAGAAGCAGATACTGCCTAGAAAGGCAAGCAAGAGCCATTAGTGAAATCAAGTGTCTCAGACTGTGGCTAACCAGAATCATGCTGTTCTATGTCATACCAGTAACAGAGACATAAGTCTCTTAATTTAGAGGTGGTAAATATATAACTGAGAAAGGAAGCAAATAAACATTTTCTTTTTAAAATAAAGAGACTTATGCTGCTTAGAAGTTCTTTAAGAAATAGTTATATTGATTTTTCCACCTCTCAAGCCATATTTATTAAATGTTACCAAGTTTCCTGAGGTGATCTACCAACCTGGACACAATTCATCAACATGTACATAAACATCCATAAAGACTTACATAATTCATATCTTCTTCCTGTAATTTTACTTGTACACAGGACAACAATCAAAACTATGCACAAAGATTGCCATAAAAATCCAAGCTGGCTACGATGGCATACTCCTTTAATCCCAGCACTTGGGAGGGACAGGCAGGTGAGCTCAGGCCACCTTGGTCTACATAGCAAGTTTCAGGCCGGCAAGGGCTACAGAGTAAAACTGTCTCAAAACAAACAAACAAACAAACAAAGAAGCAAACAAACCTTCTTAGTCAGCTCTCTAATTTCCAGTAACTGGAAACAATATTAGTTATCTAATGAGATAATGGTTACATAAACTATGATGTCGGTTTTAGAAAATCATTAAAATATTGACCCAATTACGTGGATTATCTAATCAAATATGTTAAGTGAAACATGCAAGAATAGTTACATAAGTAGTTTGGTTTTATGTTCAAATATATGAGAAAATACACACCAAAATATTAATAGTAGTTATTTCTGAGTAGGTGTTAGTATAATTCTTCTTTTTTATTTTCTTATTATCCAAAAGTGTTCTGAGCATTATCTTCCTGGTTATAGGAGAGACATTTTAAAAATCTCACAGTAGTCTCACAATAAATGCCAGGCAAGACCTGCATAGTAAATCTAGCTGAGACACACCAAAAAAAGACACTTGGAAGTGGAAATGGGTGAGCTCCGAGAGCCATGGTTCATAAGTAACTACTAATTACACTGATGACTGGAATAGCCCAGACATAGAACATTAGAAAATCTGGCTCAAAATAAGTTGCTCTATATCTAAGTAACTGAATCCAGCTAAATGGATAAGAATTATGAAAGGATGTTCTAGTTATTGCTGCTGTCCAAGTGTCGGAGAAATGGGGGTGGGTGGGTAAGAAAACAGATGGCATAGTTCCTGTCACTTCTTGAAGTTCTCAAAATGTCTCACCCAGAAATTGGGACCCTACCCCTCCATGGTGGTCACACTACACATCTCTGTGTCATTTCAGTTTTCCAAGCTTATGATAGTAAATCTTCATGTTTTTTTTATTTTACTCTGTGCTTCAATTTGTATTTTTGGAGATAACATAGCACACTGTAGTACAGCTCAGGCTGGCTGGAACTGTGGCCCAGGTTGGCCTTGAATTTCAAGTTAATCCTCCTGCATCAGCCTCCAAAGTGCTAGTAAAACAGGCATGTACAACTATGCCTCAATAAGTTAAGTCCTGATTGGACTGAAAAGAGCTCAAGAGATTTGTGAAGCACACCCCAGGTGTCTCTGTGAGGGTGTTTCCAGAGAGGATTGAAAAGGCAGACCTGCCTCGCACATGCTCCGTGGCACCATCCTAGAGAGGCCTACGTGGAGTAAGAAGCAAAGAAGGCCCACACTTCTTGCTCTTCAGTACCAAGCCTTAGCCCCATAATGGTCTAACCTCAGAAACTATGAGCCAACACATATGACCGCATCCTCTAAGTTGTTCTCTTCTGTCCTCAAGCCACAGCTATGAAAAAGCAATCCACAGCTAGTTTCTTCCTGTTTACAAATATTAACCCAAGGGCTGCTCAGAAGGCACTTAAGAGATATGACCAAGTCCACCACTGATGGACTTTTAGGAATGGAGATCACCCTGGATAATCTGGGGAGCCTGACTCAATCAGTCCACAGGCATTACCAAGAACAGTGGCAGGCTCCCCAAAGCAGGAAGATTCTACCTCTAGACCTAGCTTCAGCTTGAACAGAGGCCCAGCCTGAGTGTCCCACTGGCCTGTCCTTGTTGGTTTGTATAGCAGATTCCAATCTGCCTTGCCAGCCCCACAGTTATGAAAGACAATTTCTTCTAATACTCCCTCCCCCCCATATATACACATATGTATGAATCTGGTATGAAATTTATTTACAAGTAAAACTTAGCATTTTCTGCTGAAGAATGAATTTTTCTCAGGCTCACAATGCAAGCAACAAGAGTGGGGATTAAAAAGTTAAAATATGATGCTGTGGGGAACAGGTAATCCTGTGGCCTTGCTTGCTCTTCAACCTGCCTGTGTCCCTGTCATGATCCTGGGCTCTGGCATACAGGACCCCGATTCTACAGAGGACATTTTAGTAATGCTTTAAAAAATAATAAAGTCAATCTCTCACTTGTCTTTCTAGTTGTCAGGCAGTGAATCCAAATCTCCTGAGCCTGGAAGCTACCTCATGAGAGTCAAGTCTCCCGGATTTACTTGAGGTTGTATGAGAATTTCAGATACTAACAAATGCTCTGAGGTGATGAGATATTAACTAGGGTTCTGCAGGCTGTAAGAGTTACCTCCCCAGGCACCAGGGAGACTGTTCTGGGGAGGTGACATCTGAATTGAAATCTGAATGACAACAGCAGAGACCAGAGGAACAGACAATGCTATCTATACAAGCACCAGGCTTTGGATTTGACCCCTGACTAAAAATGTTTGTGCATCAGGAGGGAATCAGGGTATCTCCATGAAAGAACAGGTATGGCTCAAGTAGAAAGGTCAAGGAGGGCTCTGGATTTTTTTTTTTAACCCAGTAAATGGCCTTACTCCTAGGAGTTAGCTTCCTATCTCTTTAAAGAAATGCAATCATTTCCCAAGTTCCAAAGATGCTGGGTAAATTTAAAGTGTTTTTCTACAGTGTGAACAAACTGTAAAAAAAGCCAACATCTGAAAGGCTACCAGCTCCAAAAGCTTTACCTATAAACTTTCTGGACTACCTCAAGCTGGAATCCAGAAGCAGCAAGCTCTTCTTACAGATGCCTTCCATGCACAGATGTTCCCATGCCATGATGCCACTGCCCTACCCGTTATTCACAGCCAATGCTAGTTCTATGTAAACAATCTGCTTTCCTTTTTCACATTTTAAAAAAGGTATTTTATATATATATATATATATATATATGTGTGTGTGTGTGTGTGTGTGTGCGCGCGCGCGCTATCTGTATGTATATCTGCATACCAGAAGGGGGCAGTAAGATCCCAGTAAGGATGGTTGTAAGCCACCATGTGATTGCTGGGAATTAAATTCAGGACCTCTGGAAGAGCAAACAGTGCTCTTTTAACCACTAAGCCCTCTCTCCAGTCCCCTTTCTCATATTTTTATCCTGAAAATTCTCTTGGCTGTTAGGTCTGAAGTGATGAGGACTGACGGGATAGATTCTAGTTCAAATCTGAGAGCCTAAAACCCAGAGGCACCAGGTGGCAGAGGGACAGGGAGAGGGTAAACTTCCTTCAATTCTTTCTCTGCAGGCCCACAGATTAGACAGACAAGGCCCTTTGCTTTGGGGAGGGCGACACACTTTACTCAGCTTACAGATTCACATTCAAGTCCCTTCTGGAAGCACGGCACACTAGGTAACCAGCTGGCTGGGTAGCTCAAGATCCAGTCCGGTTGACAGATCTGTCACAGTAGACTAAGCATTTTACAGTCCTCACTAAAGCCTGCAAAGCAGCCATTCTCTTCATCCTACAGGGAGACCCTGGCTCTTTCTTAGGTTGCTCAAGGTCAACAGAATAAATGGTGGAAATAGGATCAGAATCCAGAGCTAAAGCCTGGGGCTCGTCCTCCTAACCACTGGCTAACAGCTGAGCATTAAGACAAACGCTGTGCTGAAGAGGCAGAGTGAGCTAGAAGGTACCAGTTCACTTCCAAAGTTCCCTGCTGGCAGTAAAGCTCAGGTGGGCTGTCTATTTACAGGTGGTCCTCTAAATTATACTCTGACCATGGACTCGATAGCAGGAATTAATCTGAGGACACAAAGAGGCCCTTCCGTTTGTCCACTCTTGAAGCAATATAGGCTCCTGGTGAAAATTTTGCAAATTACAAAAATGAAATTATTCAAAAAATTAAAACTAGTTAATTGTATGATTATGCTATTGCACTTCTAGGCAGATCCCAATAAAACAAAAGCAAAGATCTGAGGTATTTGTACACTCATGTTCATGGGGGCACTGTCTAATAGGTATAATGCATAAGTAAATCTGGAGTCTGCATATATGACTGAAAATGAAGAGCATGTAGTCTTAGGCAAGAATTTGTGATGCATGAGTATGGTGATTCCAATTAAAGTCTTTCATCAGTTTCATACAGATAACTGCCAGGGGGCCACGGAAAGTGTCACTGGGGAACCGGTTCTTTGTCTATGCATGTGTGCCTACTGATGAAGGGTCTTGTCTTCTATCACTCTTAATCTCATTTTTCGAGAACAGGTCTCTCTTTGAAACTGAAGCTCACTGATTGGTTAGATTAGGTGGCTGGTTGAGTCCAGGATCCACCTGTCTCCACCCTACCTCTCACCCCAGCACGGGTTACAGTTACAGTATGTGGGTGCTGGAAGTGCTGGTACATCAAGCATTTTACCCACGCAGCCATCTCCTGGCTTGACACGGCAAACTGTTTAATGAATAGTTTTGCCAGGTGTGAACAGTCCAAAGGATGGATAGTGATGATGGCTGTGAAGCAGCACGGATGAACGTAAGCCAAGAACCATGCTCTTAAGTGTGCATACTTTACCATGCAAAAGAACTATAAGGCAGGGCATGGTGGCCAGAACCTTTAACCCCAGCACTCAGGAGGTAGAGGCAAGTGGAAATCTATGAATTTAAGGCCAGCCAGATCTACAAAGAAGTGTACCAGGACAGCCAGAGATATGCAGAGAAACCTTGTCTCAAAAAACAAAGCAAACCCAACGACAAAACAAAAAAACTATAAAGACATGGGGGAAGTGTTCACAAGTCTCTGTGCAATTCAACTGACATATTTTAAATTTTAATTTTTTTCTACTGTTAGCCTTGTGACAGGTCTGCATGACAAGTTCTGTTATTAGCCTTGTGATGGATTATAAGGACTGTTTTCAGACAATTACAAACCCTCAGGCAGCCTCCTCTATCAGAGGTGGGGTCCTGGTGCTCTCACTGTCTATGGCATAGCCTGGCACACAAGAAACAACCAGGACACCTGGATCCCACAGAATACCATCACGGGGACTCTGGGCTAATGGGGGCCTTGGTATCTTGACTATCTCCTATTGATGAAGACCACCGGGGTTATTCACATTTTCTAAATTTCTCTGACAAAGGCTTCATTACTTCTAGAGGCAGCTCACTCTGGTTTGGGATTCTAACATACCTCATGTGCTGCCGTTATTTTACAGACAAAAAGGGGGACCACAGAGTTTGGTGCCAGATAGTTAATGGTTTCCCTAGTTAGTGGATTCTTTCTCAATAATCTTTACAAGAAGCTGCAAATTGGTAGACTGAGAGCTACATCTGACTGGTAGACCTGACTTATCCAATACGGGTTTTAATCATTAGGTTATTTCTTGCAAAAATCTCACTTCTTTTGAAATAGATCTGAAACTTTGGACCGGTACTTCGCTAAGCCACGAGTGGTGGCAAAGAAGGGGTACACTCGCTAACTTGCCGCAACCCCCTTCCTTCTGTTCTACTCTTTTAAAACAATTCATGGGCCTGAAGGTGCAAAGGTCGTCTCGTCTACTTAGAATTTTGTTAGGGGGATGGCGGGGGGCCGGCCCGTCTGGATTTGAGGACCTTCCCGTGCGGACTCCAGCAGCGTCGGTCCGTCCCTGGTTGGCAGCTGTACCGGGACCCTGCCTCGGGGTGTCAGGAATCGCTAAGATCTGCGTGCACGTCCACAGGCCTCTCTTAGTCGAGTCTGACACCTACCTCGCGGGCAGGGCAACCTGCACGCCGCGGGGCACGACTCTCGCTGAGCACAGACACCCGACACCGGACCCTCAACCGGCTGCCCGCGACCCCGGGCTCGTACCTCACAGCCGAGGCGCCTGTGCCACAGCTGGCTGCGCACGCGCACCGGCATCCACGCGCCGGCGGAAGGAATCCAACGGATGGGACAAACCACTACGCACGAAGGGGGACACCCAGGGAGAGAACGAGGAGGGTGGGGAGAGGGAGGGACGAAGAGAAAGCCGGACCGTGACCTCCAAGGTGGAAGGCCAACAGGACGCTTAGTCCCGAGGGACTCCAAAGGGGACGCTCTGGGGTCCGCGGTCTCCGCGGCGACCTTCGTTGTACTGCCTCCACCTTCTAGTCCTAGGAGAATCCGGAAGGGCAGGGGCGGGACTCGCGCAGGCGCAGTGGGGCTGGCAGCATGGCCTCCAAGGCTAAGAAGCGGGCCGTGGGAAACGGGGTCCAGCGGCCGCTGGGAGCACAGGCTCAGCGCGAGGAGGAGGAAGAGGATGAGGTCGAGGATGAGGAAGAAGACGATGAAGACAGTGACGAAGAAGAGGATGAAGATGACGAGGTCGTGGACGAGGTGAGGCACACGCGACCATACTTTTGGTGTAAGTCTGAGAGGTTAAAAAAAACTTTCAGGCAGCCGAAGCTGTGGTAAAGTGATAGAAGTTGTGGTTCAGGAGCTGAACCGGACGCAGTTTGCCACCGCAGGCTTTTCTACACATTTCTACCTGAAGCCCTTCCCGTCTTCGTTATTCCCACCCCAGAAGCCCGCCAACCGCAGCTTTCCGTTTTCTGCGTACGCGTGCAAACTCCGGCCTTCTGGAGTTTGTTAAAGGCAGCCTGTTCTGCCCTAATGTAAATTTTTCAAATGCCTTTCTCCTTCTTTAAGTACATCTCCGCTAGACCGTATTTACCGCCTCCCTGGGGAAGCCACCCTGGTCAAACTGGTTTTATGGCCTCACAGAACTGACGTCCTTTCTTCGGATTTGTTTGTTTTTGTTTTTGTTTTTCGAGACAGGATTTCTCTGTGTAGACCTGGCTGTCCCGGAACTCGCTCTGTAGACCAGGCTGGCCTCGAACTCAGTGATCTACCTGCCTCTGCCTCCTGAGTACTAGGATTGTTCAGACTTACTACCTAGTCCACGGTGGGTTGGATTAAGCACTTCTTTCTTGGTGAATGATTAGGCTTGAGTGATTGTTCAAGACAATTGCTGTCTCAGTAGGCACTTCAGACTGACTGTCCAAAGCAATCCTTTTGTAGTTTGTCCCCCATTTCTGTAACAGTTACCTACTTCACCAGTTCAAACCCCAGACTTGGGTGTTGACTTTTAATTACTCCTCCTTTCTCACTCCATCAGTACATCAGTACATTAGCTTTTCTTTAGTATCCAGGCACATCTTATCATTGATCCTGCAGCTATTCTAATCTGTACCTCCATCATCTCTTGCCTGGTTACTATAAATTTTTTTATCCCTTTTTTTTTTTAAAGGGAAAGCTAAGGCTGGGATAACCACTATGAAATCATAATCAGATGCAACTTTATTGTCTTTACAGTGCTGGTAATCAAACCCAGGACACTATGCTTGCTAGGCAAGCACTTCACCACTGAGCCTCACTCTCGGCTCCCTATAGTGGCTTTTCATTGTCTTGCCTTTCCATTCTGGTTCCTTAACCACCTGTATTCCATTTAACTGCCAGAGAGATCTGGTTGGCCTGTTCTACTCTCTCTCTTTAAATGCTCCGGTGGCTTCTAGTGGGATTTCCTTTCAGGATGGCTGGCTCAGAGCAAGCAAGAGAGAGGGGGTGGAAATGGTCATTAGAGTAAGCTAGAGTCAGAGTGAGCATGCAAGGGGTGTCTACTGGTTGAGGTGCAGCACTGGGAATGAGACCATGGTGTGGATATCTAACATGCCTTCCGTTCCAGGTCATTGCTTTGAACACCAGCTCAAAAAGGTTTACTAGCTATTTTGCTACCTCAGGGTTCTAGAAGCCAGTGCTTCTTTTATTAACATGGAAAATCTAACAGACTGCCAGTGACTAAACTGTGTACTATAATCACCAACTGTGGGAAGAGGGAAGGAACCTCAGATGAGGGCTTGCCTCTATCACATTGGCCTGTGGGCTTGTCTGTGGGCCTTTGCTTAATTAATGATTGATGGAGGAGAGTCAGGCCCATCAGTCAGGCACAGAGAGCTGTGCCTCTCCTGGTCCTGAGTAGTATAAGAAAACAAGCCAGTAAACAGTGTTCTCTGCCTTAGTTCCTGCCTTGAACTCCTGTCCAGACTTTCCTCAGTGAGGAACATACCAGGAAGTGTGAGATGAAAGAAACCCTTTCCTTCCTGAGTTGCTTTTTCTGTGGTGTTTATCACAGCAACAGAAAGAATGCCATCATTGATAATATTGTAGCAATATAAGCACCTACATACCCTGTTGGGGGGAATATAAATATGTGTGATTTCTTTGGAGGGTAATTTGACAGCATTTATTAAAATTTAAAGTGCATATAATTCCTGACTCGGGAACTTTTAAGAATTTACCCTACAGAAATTGACAGTCATAATAATAATAATACTGAATATACTCCCAAGCTCTGTCCATTTTGTGTTAACTTATTTAATTCTCATGTTAGCACCATGGACTTAGGAAATATCACTATTTTACAAGTGAGACCATACAACAAGTTTAGGGAAATGTGTATATATAGTTGTTACATGGAGGAAAAAAGGAACAAGGTGTGTGCATGTGTGTGTGTGTGTGTGTGTGTGTGTGTGTATAGTTGTTATGTGGAGGAAAAAAGGAACAAGGTTTGTGTGTGGGTGGCATCCATCAGCTTGTGTGTATGCTATTTGACAGTAGTTTTAGAATAGGAGTATGATATTAAGGCTAGGCAAAGGCTTTCTCACTAGACCATAGCAGATTTTACCACTCATATGCCTTTACATTTGTGTGTGTGTGTGTGTTTGCCTACATACGCATGTACTCTGTGCATGTTGTGTCCACAGAGGCCATAAGAAGGCATCCTCTGGGGCTCGAGTATATATGGTTGTAAGCCTCTGTTTAGGTGCTGAGAATTGACCCTGAGTCCTCTGAAAGAGCAACCAGTGCTCTTAGTTGCTGAGCCATCCAGCCCTCCATCCTGACATAGGAAATTCTTAGTGTTGAGGGTAAGTCTCCTTTCTGAAATCTTTAGTGAGTGCTTGTCCCTTTATCTAATTGAGGAAGTCTTTAATTTTCTGATACATTTATTCACCCACAGTTCATTTTTGATGTAAAAACCCATGAAAATTATTTTGGAAGATCAGAATCAACCTCAGTTTTTTGTTTTTTGTTTTTTTTCCAAAAACAAAATGGTGTACCAGGAATAAAGATGCCATAGTTCAGGTCCTGCAGTGCCTAATTTAAAGGACAACATGAGGTAGCTGACCTTTACCTTCCCAAGTTGGCTTACCAAAGCAGTTAGGGGACTTAGGAGCATGTGCCTTCTTGCAGTCTCTTGGACTCACCATAATTTCTCTTCCCTTGGGGGCCTGTATTACTGTTTCCCATCCCAGGAAAACTCTTTACCTGTTGTTTATGTCACTTTTTAAGAGAAAGCTTTTGACTCTCTGTTTTCCTAGTTTTAAGCAGCAACAGTTTATCTTTTTAAATATATGTATATTTTTCAGTTATATTTACTTATTTGTATGTGTATGTGCCATGGCCATATATACAGATGTCAGAGGGCAACTGTGGGAGTTGGTTCTCTCTGTGTCCACTATCCCATGTGTGCTCATTTGCCACATGGAAATCAGAAGATAATTTGCAGCAATCAAGTCTTTTTTCCACCATCTCAGTCCAGGGAATTGAACTCAGATAGTCAGGCTTGTCAATAAGTGCCTTTACCTGCTGCACATTCTCTCTCCAGCCTCTCCTCATCCTTTTTAATGGTACATATAGTTGTACCTTTTTTGGTTTTTCAAAACAGGATTTCTTTGTGTAGCCTTGGCTGTCTTGGCTCTGTAGACCTGTAGGCTGGTCTTGAACTCACAGAGATCTGCATGCCTTTTCCTTCTAAGTGCTGGTATTAAAGGCATGTGCCACCATCTCCCAACTATACACATTACAGTTGCAACTTTAGACTTCTTTTCTGTCTCTCCTGTGTCTGCTCCACAAGAGCAGAGTTGTTCATATCTATTTATTTAGAGACGGAGTCATGCTATGTCATTGGTTGTAACCCAGCTTTACCTTCCTGCCTCAGTGAGTCAGGCCTGTGTCACCAGGCATGGCTTCACTATTTCCTCCCAAGTGCTTGGTACCTGCTGTTACTTAGTAAATATTTGCTAAGTGAATAAAGTATATCATCACATGGAAGGGTAAATTAAACTCTAGGCAGTTGTGGGGACTTCATGTGATCTTTTCCTTTACACAAGCTTTTTGAAGCCAGGTAAATAATTATTTCTCCTTTGAGGCTGCCTGAAGCCAGGTAAATAATTATTTCTCCTTTGAGGCTGCCTGACAGTTTTAGCTGGGTGAGACTGTGTTTGTATTTAAACCAGGTCACCATGTTTTGTTCCTCCAGGCTTTTGCATCACATGAGGAAATGGTATGAATAGCCTTTGTAATCTGTACAGGTATTTTGGCAGTATTTACTTTTTTTTTTTTTTTTTTTTTTTCCTTTGAGAAAGAGTCTCCCTGTGATGAACAGGATGACCTCAAAAGTGAGGTGTTTTTGCACCCCTCCTAGCAACCTCTGAGTTAGTATTTGCAGGCCTCTAGAACCATCCTGGCTTTAGGTTTGCCTGTTTTGAAGCAACATTCCCCTCTCGCCCTTCCCTTTTATGAAATAACATCTTGTTATGTATCCCAGGCTGGTCTCAAATTATTGATCTTCCTTCCTCTGTCTGCAGAGTTGCTGGTTTGTACCACCACATTAGACTAACAGTTCATGTTTTTCTCAACTGCAAACCCCTGAGACATTTTCTGCAGATAAGTAATAGAGAACAGACCTAAAAGAATGGAAACTGAGGCAAAAGAAAAATTTGCAAAATGGATATGCTGCCTGCATCATCTTCAAATCTGTCTGTGATAACCTGTTTCACATATGATTTACAGGAAGTGAATATTGAATTTGAAGCTTATTCCATCTCAGACAATGATTATGACGGAATTAAGAAATTACTGCAGCAGGTATGGTCTTTTCCAAATTCCCACGGTTGTCTCTGCACTTTGCTGAAGGAATCTCTCCTTTTCCGGGGTGAATGGCTAATTGTGTCTCTTCTCCTTATCCCATCCTCCCTCCCCCCATTACAGTGTTTAAGTTCTCTGTGTCCTGGAATGCCCTCCTTTTTATGTGGTCACT